CCCCAAGGCTGCATTTTATTCCAGGAAATAAACAGCATGAGGTCAGCTCTCCAGGAATTTGGAGGGACACACATGCCCTGGAACCTCCAGGCAGCCTGGGGTCAACAGTCCTGGTCAGTTGTGGCCACGGGAGGCAGGCAGGGGGGCCGGGCTGGGCACATGGTGGCATTAGGCAGACAGAAGTTCAGGACATGTGGACCCAGTGGGGCCATTCACTGGGCTGGTGATGGAAGAAGTGAATGCCGATGGGACGCTCACACCGCAGCATTTATGGAGCGCCGGCTGTGTGCCTGGCCCTGGCGGGTACCTCGGAGTTCCAAACCTGTGGTCCAATGAGGCCTTAAACATAAGCCGGTGCCTCCGTGAGGGCCACCCAAGGCCAGAGTGTCCATCCACTGGGCTGCTGACTGGGCGCTTCAACTGCAGCAGTGGGTGGGCCCCTGGTCAGGGTCCGGTGTCGGTGGCCGGATCCTCCTGGGGCTCCTGTCCTGGCGTGTGGATGGCCATCTTCCCTCTGTGCGCATATCCGTGTCCTAGTGTCCCTTTTGATGAGGACACCGTCTTTTTGGATCAGGGCCACCCTAGTGACCTCATTTCAGGTGGATTCTCTCTGTAAAGACTGTTTCCAAATCAGGTCACATTCTGAGGTCCTGGGGTTGAGGACTCCAGCAGATCGTTTAGGGGGCACAACCCAGCCTGGCCCACGAGGGCCCCCCCCCGCTGGCAGAAGGCTGGTCTGGCTGGGCTTCCTGAGGCCGGGTGGGGTCCCCCCTTGGCGCTCTTTGAAGGGGTTGGCAAGGCAGCCCTTAGCCTGGTGATTTCCGCAGCCCTGAGCCCATGCTGGGAGGGACGTGTGCTTGGGCACCGGCCTGAGCAGCCACAGGCTGAGCAGTGTCCACTGGGGGAGGCTGGGGGAGCCCGGCCCTGGAGGGACTGGCCGGGTGCTCAGGCCCAGCACAGAGGCCTCAAGTGCCCAGGAGCAGCTTGGACTTGGTCCTGAGGGACTTGGTCCTGAGGGACTTGGGCCCTGGAACTCCAGTGAAGGGCAGTTCTGCAGCCTCGGGCCTGCTCACCTCTGACCCTGCTCAGCGGGGGCTGGCATGTCTCCTGGGTGCCCCGATCTATCTGGAGCTCTGGGGAACTCACTCTGGGCCTGGGGAGGAAAGAGCCCCACAGGGCAACTGGCAACCCCGAACCCACAGGCTGCAGCCCCTGGGAGTTTGAGGCCGATTCAGGGGGCAAGGGGCCTCCTCCCATTTGTTTGGAGACAAAGCAGAACTTGTTTCCCTGCCCTCCCTCCACGGGGCATTTCGCTGAGGAGCGGTCAGTGACCCAGGGCGGGTCTGCAGGGGAGACTGAGCTTTCAATGGATGGGGTGGGGGCAGGGAGGGGTTTGGAGCCCCAGACACTGAGGGCCGTGGCTGAGGGCCCCCTGGGGTGGTGGATGGAGACCCACACTCCACATGCCCGTGGACATGGTTGGGGTAAAGCTGGGGTGGACAGTGGGTGCTCGGGCTGTGCTGACAAATGCCTTACCCACCCTTCCCGCTCCTCTGGTCATCTGTCCGCCCAGAAACAAATGTGTCCACCATCCTGTCCTGCCCACAAAGCGCCGTCTGTGCTCGCGGGTGGTCTCGGCATCTGGAACGCGTTACCTGGGAGGTGGTCCGAGTGGAAGCGGGGAGGTTTCCGGGAGAGCCGGGCAGGTTAATGAATGGTGGGGCCTCCGGGGCAGGCGGGTAGACGCAGCCCCGGCCTCTCCCACTCCCCACCCCGTGGCCTGGCCTCAGTAACAGGCTGTCCGGCGTTGTGATGGGGTCTCTGGTCAGCTGGCCACAGGGCTTCGGCTGCCCCTCCGTGTGAGACCCACCTGGCCTTCAACAGGGTCCCCAGATTCACTCACAGAAACTTCAGCTGTCCCGTCCCACGGGACACTGAGGCCCCGGGAGAAGAGAGGGCTCGCACGGGGTCAGCAGCGCAACCTGGGGGAGTCAGTCGCACCCTCTCCCCAGCTCTCTCCCCTGCTCTGAGGCTTCTGAAACAATCCAGGTCATGCTGAAGTTTCAGGAATTCGGTTCAGGCCCCACGGAAGCAACACGGACAGATAGGCAGACAGATCTATGTTTAATCTGCTGGGGTCTGGCAGTGTTTTCTGCTCAGAGTGTCCTCCTGGGCGCTCGAGGGGCTGTGGTGCCCATGCTGGGCATGGGCTCAGGGCGCTGGCGGCCTGGCTGTGGGACCCCGTGACTGGGACGTCCTGCACCCTGTGGTCAAGTGTGTATGTGGGACGGGGGCTCTAATATTCTCAGCCATGAGAAGGAGGGTCTGTCCCCTCGGGAGGAGGCTGGACGCCTGGTGGGCACTTAATGCCACGTCCCAAGTGGTCCAACCTCGAAAGCCCGGACCCTGGAGCCGCAGCCTGGCTTTGGTCTTCCCTGCTGTGTGACCTTGGGCAAGTCACAGAGCCCCTTGTGCCTCAGTTTCCTCACCCATGAGCGGCGGGCATTGCTAGCATGTGGGGGCGTGAGCACTGACTGAGCGGGTGTCATGGGAGGTGCTGGGGGACCAAAGAATGGTGGGGGGTGGCAGAGCTTCATTCCTCTCTGTACACCACTGTCCCTGCCCTGGGAGCCTCCCGCGTCCACCCATGTTCTCACCCCCGGGACATACCAGCCCAGAGCTCAGAGGGGTTTGGAGGCAGCCCCCGAGCTGTGCCCTCTGTGTTCAGGGCTGGAGCCCGTGTGCTGGCCGGCCCTGCCCTCCCGAGGCTGCAGCGACCTCACCCCTTCCCAGGAACACCGCACACGTCTCGGTTTCTCCATTTGGGCGGAATGACCTCTGAGGCCCTCCTTCTTGGGGTCTGAGCTGCTTCCACCCTTGTATGTTTATCTCCTAGAAACTACGACTCTCTCAGGAAGGAGAACATTTATGAGAACAACAAGCTGGTGAGTCCCTGTCCCTGACCCGACCCCGCCAGTGGAGGGGAGCTGTGGAGGGAGGCCGGGTCACTGGAGCTCTGCAGCTGTCCCGGGCCCCGTGACACCAGCTGCCCGGAAATAGCCTCTGACCTGTAGCAAGCCCACTGGTCCCCTTCTTCTGAGCAGAGGGTGGGGCGGTGTCTGGACCCTCCTTCCCATCCAAGGCAGAGCCAGCCCAAAGGTGGCTCTGGGAGAGCAGGGCCCTTGGGTGGGTCCTGGGTGGGCCCTCGGCTGCTCCTCCCCTGGGGAACCACCGCCCTGGCCACCAGGGTCCTGCACACCCTGCCTCCAGCCATGCTGTGGGCTGCCCTGTGTCCCAGCTATGAGCCTTCCCTGGGCCAGCCAGCCTGTCTCATTGCTGCAGAGTAGGCTTCATGACAGAGGGCTGGTGACAGAGGGCAGAGTCCACCCCTCGTTGTCCGTGGGCCCTGTGCTCTCGCTGGGTGGGGACAGGGCCTCGGCTGATGCTTATTAGGAGCCCACGGGCGCCAGCTCCCGAGCTCCTTCAGTCTGGCATGGTCAGGATGTGATCCCCACTGTACAGATGAGTAAACTGAGCCCCAGGGAGGTCATCCAGGCTGAGCCGAGCTGGAACCTTGAACCCAGACTTTTCTGGGCTCCTAGTGGGTTTCTTGCCTCTGGCACCTTCTGGGTGAGCCGGTGGCCTGGTTGAGGAGGACGAGGGGTCTCCAGCCCGCTCCCTGCTGACCACCCCTCCCAAAGGCCTTCCGCGTGGCAGAGGAGCAGCTGGGCATCCCAGCCCTGCTGGACGCCGAGGACATGGTGGCCCTGAAGGTGCCAGACCGGCTGAGCATCCTGACCTACGTGTCGCAGTACTACAACTACTTCCACGGACGCTCCCCCAGTGAGCGGTGCCCCTGCTGCCCACCCGCCAGCACCCAGCCCTGCCCTGTGGCCGCAGGCAGCTCCCGGTGCCACGGCTTCCTCCCCGGGGGCCCTGGCTCAGAGCAGGCTCAGCAGGCCCCACTTTCTCTTGTCCACTGAACAGACAAACCAGCTCCCCTCCGCCCCCTCCTGGGCCTCGGTTTCCCTGTCTGTGCCCCTGGGGTCTGTGCCTATCTGTCCTGCCTCAGGTGCTTGGCAGGCCCCCGAGGGCTTCCAGGCACAGCTCCCAGTGTCCCCCCATTTGGTCCTGACATTCAGCCCTGGTGGCTGGGGGTGGGAGAGTGAGAGGGGAGCTCCAGGCCTGGCGGGCAGGGAGAGGCAAGCCGAGGCCACTCTTTTCCAGCCGCTTTGTGCTTCATGCCTTCCCCCCACATTCCTTGCCCAGGCTTTAGAAATCCCCAGAATCACTCTGGGCGAGGGGCCAGGCCCGCCTTTTCATTCCCACTTTGTGGAGAAACAGAAAAGTCCCTCATTCCTGACCCCAGATCAGGGGGAGGGAGCGGAGGGTGTCGGTGAGGCCAGGCTCCAGCTGGGGTTGGCATTGGCTGCTTGCTGGGGCTGCCCCTCCCCATGGGCCCCCCTGCCAGCAGGAGCTGCCCTACCTCCCCTTCCCATATTCCAGGCCCCTGGTTGGGCACCCCCACCTCCAGGGACTCAGGCAGGAGTGGCCTAGACACTTTGAGAGCCAGGGTGGGGGCTGGGCCAGTCCCCCTGACCCTGTGTCTCATGACAGTTGGGGGCATGGCCAGCATCAAGAGGCCCCCGTCAGACTCTGAAGAAGAACCATCTGGAAAGAAGGCCTCACCCCAGCTGGCCGGGCCCTTGTCCCACCCAGCCCGGGGGCAGCCGCTGTCTCCGGTCAGCACAAACACCACTGTCCAGCGGAAGGACAAGGGTACAGAGGGCCCCCCGCCGAAGGCTGTAAGCACCCAGCCCTGTCCTCCCTCTGGTTCTTGGGTTTTCCACTGGCTTTCACTGAGTGGGTCTGGATGGACTGAGTATAGCCCCTGAACCCCAGGACCCAGGATGGGGTGGGGTTCCCTCGATCCCTGCACAGCCTCAGCTGACGTTTATCAGGAGCCCATGGGGACCAGCTCCCGAGCTCCTTCAGTCTTGCATGGTCCGGATATGATCCCCATTGTGCAGATGGGTAAACTGAGGCCCAGGGAGGTCACACAAGCTAAGCTGAGCTTGAACCTTGAACCCAGACCTATCTGGGCTCCGAGTGGGTTTCTTGACTCTGGCTACTCCCTCTCCCGCGGGTCCAGGAAAGAAAGTGGGGTGTGTCCCTTCCTTCTAGGCCAGCCCAGCAAAGTGAGCTGTGCCCTGTCCCTAGTTTTCAGTGGTGGAGCCTGAAAGGGGCGGTAACTTGTGCTTGGGCGCCCCCTGCTGTCCCCGGGCTGTCACACCAGGCTGCAGGGAGTTGGGGTTGGGCAACATGTGGCCGGATGTTGGGAGTTGGATTGGATTTCTGTGCCTTGAGGTGGGAATTTGGGGAGTTCTGGCCCCTCGATACTCCCAAAGCCAGGCCTCCAGCCCCATCCCCCGGGCCAGGCTGGAGACCCTGAACTTGGTGTCCAGCTGGCCTGGGCATGAGCCCCGGCTGCTCCTCTGTGGCCTCAGTTCTCTGGTCCATGAAGTGGGGTCTTCTCGGGGCTGATTGGGCAGCTGTCAGGAGGGGGGGCTGGGCCAAGGGGGGAGCTCAGGACCTCAGCTGTAACCCTCCCCAAGGGCCAGGGTGCGGCGGGCGGCTCTGTCAGCAGCGCCTGCGGGGTCTGCGGCCAGCACGTGCACCTGGTGCAGCGATACCTGGCCGACGGGAAGCTGTACCATCGGAGCTGCTTCAGGTAGGCCCGTGTGTGCCTGGGGGGGAGCTGAGGGCACAAGCACTTTCTGGGGTGTCTGCCCCCTAACCGGTCGTTGGAGGAGTCTGACTCAGAGGTTGGCAGCCATGAGAGGGGTTCGTGCGTGAACGGACACGGGAACACCTGAGCGTGGTCTCTGGGGTCTGGGTCGAGTGACGCCAGCTGGGGCTCCCGGTCTCCGCCCCCCCAGGTGTAAGCAGTGCTCCAAAACCCTGCGCCCCGGCGCCTACCGTTCTACGGCAGAGCGAGGCGTCTTCATCTGTTCCAGCCACCACCCCACAGCCGCCTCTACAAGCCCCACATTGCCGGGCCTAGCCCTCAGACAGCCAGGGGCCATCCCCACGGACTCCAAGTCCCCCAGTGCCCACCAGACAGCCCAGGAGGCGCGTGGGTGGAGAGATGCAGGGCCAGAGGCCAGGCCTGCAGCCCGGGAGCTCGTGGGCAACTCAACAGCCAAAGGCTTCGTTCCTTCTGCGGCTTACCCCCCGGTGACCACTTCCTCCCATGTCCCCTTGGGGAGCCTGTCTGGGCCCAAGCTCTCAGCGGGCCCTGTGGGTGGCAAGGCCAGTAAGCGTGTGACCAACAGCTCCCCGACAGGGTGGTCATCGCCAGCACAGGACACGGCAACAGTCAGTCCCCGTCCTTCTGTGACCCTGAGCGCCCTGGACCCTCACCCGGCCACACAACAAGGCTGGGCAACCCCCCAAGTGTCAGCCCCCCAGACTAAGCTCAGTTCAAGCCCAGTGTCCCCAGGCCCAGCAGATGCCCCGGCCTGGACCCCGTCAGCCTCCAGGACACAGCAGGCCCGGGAGAGGTTCCTGCAGGCGCCTGGAGCCGCCCCCAGCACCGGGCCAGCCAGCAGGGCCCCAGCTGCAGCAGATGCTCCCTCCAAGGTCGACCTAAAAGAGAAGGCGCTGAGCCACCTCCAGAAGGCGCTTCCGGGGTTCGGCGGGGCTGGTGCTCAGGCGCTTGGCAGGTGTGTGGAGGAGGACGACTGGGGTCCCCAGAGGACAGAGGGGTTGGGATGGCTGGGGCTCTGCCCTGGCTGGCCATGCGATGGTGGGCTTCATCCCCCAGCCACAGTCTCCTCATCTGGGAAATGGGGAGGAGACAGGGGAGCCAGAGTGCTTGGTGGGCAGTGGGAGGGGACCACAGTTACCACTGTGAAGCTGCCTCTGCATGCCTTTGGGGGGGTGCAGGTACAGCAACACTGTCAACCGGGGCCCCCATGTGGCACACGCTCAGTCCTGCTGAGGACACCTGTTTAACATGAGGATGCAGGGGCTGGAGTGGTCTGGGTGTCACCTGCCTGACCGGAGTGGGGCTCTGAGCCACCCCTGCCCATGTCCCAGCCCTGCCTGTGCCTTCTGCACACTGGACACGGAGCAGAGGCTGTCATGGGATGAAGGAGGGTCTCTGTCAGTGTCCTGGGGCAGCTGGGATAAAGCGCTGTGGGTGGGGGGACTGACCCAGCAGACACTGGTCTGCTCACAGCTCGAGCCCAGAGTGTGAGATCGAGGTGTTGCAGGGCCAGCTCCCTCCTCAGGCTCTAGGGAGGGTCTTTCCTGCCTCTTCCAGCTTCTGGAGGCCCTGGGCATCCCTTGGCTCATGGCTGCACCCTCCCTCTATGCCTCTGTCATCGCATGTCTGTTTCCCTCTGTGTCTATGTGTCTGTTCTTCTGTCTCTTATAAGGACATTGGATGTAGGGCCACCTTAATTCAGGATGACCTCACCCTAACTTGATTACACTGGCAGAGGGCCTATTTCCATGCCGGGCGGACATGAATTTGGGGGACCCCATTCACCTCACTCCTCACCTAGTGAGTAAGGAGACCCCACGCCTGGCTGGCTAACAACGCGGTGCCCACTGCCTCATGCTCCCCCTCCGCTCGGAGCTGCCCCGTGGCTCCCAGGTTGGCCACAGGACCAGGAGAGTGAGCTCGGCAGGCCCAGGCCAGCCCACAGCCCTGCGCAGGTGGAGGAGGGAGGGGCTGGGGGCATGCCCCCCCACATCCACACATGGTGTGTGTTTTGGGGGCACTTAATTCTCATTCCACACCAGCGTTAAACAGGAGAGCAAGTCAGGCACTGACGGACCCCAGTGCCAGGAGTGGTGTCTGTGACCTGTCCCTCCTCCCTCAGAGGGGCTTCTGCCTGGGTGGGGTCATGGAGGGAGGGACTCCTGGGTCCACTCTACCTGATGCCCACTCTCACACCCACAGGCCTTCCACAGCCACCTCCCCTGCTTCAAATTGCCTTCCCAGAACTGAAGGGCCACGGGCAGGTCCGTCTGCCAAGCTGTCACAGTCGGCGTCTCCCCAGACCCTTAGCCCCCCTGCAAGGACTGAGCCACCAGCCCCCCTAAGTGTGGGCACCACTGCGAGGGCATCCACGTCGCCCCAGGCAGGCGGGAAGAGCTCAGCTGTATCCTTAGGGGTCAGCAGGGCAGGTGCTGGCTCTAGGCTGAAGCCAGAGGCCCAGCTGGGAAAGGGTAAGAGCTCCACAGTGAGGGGCACGGCGTTCAGGGGGTGGCCCACAGACATGGCCAGTCGGCATCCATAGGGCTCACTTGGGCACTGTTTGGCAGCAGGGAAGTTGAGGCCCAGAGAAGCGGTGTGATTCCTCCAAGCACACAGCACAGGTGGCCGGGCTGGAAGTCCTGTGCCCGCCTCCCAGCCAGTGCTCCTTCCCTTGACCCTGGCTGCTGGGGGCACCTGAGGGTGGGACAGCTGTAGGAAGATGCAGTGGGGCGCAGCCTTTCCCAGTAGACTCCTCCCCTTTCCTGGAGCCCCCCTCCCCCAATATGACCTGTCGCCCCGCCCTCCACCCAGGCCCGAGTGCCAGCGCCCAGAAAGATGAGGAGGATGGGCCGGCAGGATGGAGGGGCCGCCTGAAGCCCGTGGAGAAGAAAAACCCAGCTGAGAGGTGAGGGCATCCATGGGTGGGGCTGGGCTCTGGGGGCTCGTGCACCTGCACCTGCACCTGTGCCTGTGGGTTTGTGCTCATGGGGCTCAAGCAGGAGCCTGTGCCCCAGGGCTACACAGGGCCTGGCACATAGTAGATGCTCAAAAAATTCTCACAGGTGAAAGACACACATTGATCGATCAACACACCCACAAGCAGGGATGTGGGCACATCACAGCACTGCAACTGAGTGGCAGCAGCCATCTCGCACTGCCTGAGCATTGGGACAGCTCACACCAGCCTGAGTGACAGGGGACAGCTCACACCAGCCTGAGCGAGGGGACAGCTCACACCAGCCTGAGCGACAGGACAGCTCACACCAGCCTGAGCGAGGGGACAGCTCACACTAACCTGAGTGACGGGACAGTTCACACTAACCTGAGTGCGGGGGGGGCGCGGACAGCTCACACCAGCCTGAGTGATGGGGGGACAGTTCACACCAGCCTGAGTGATGGGGGGACAGTTCACACCAGCCTGAGTGATGGGGGGACAGTTCACACCAGCCTGAGTGACAGGACAGTTCACACCAGCCTGAGTGACGGGACGGCTCACACCGGCCTGAGTGACAGGACAGTTCACACCGGCCTGAGTGACAGGGGGCGGCTCACACCGNCACACCAGCCTGAGTGATGGGGGGACAGTTCACACCAGCCTGAGTGACAGGACAGTTCACACCAGCCTGAGTGATGGGACGGCTCACACTGGCCTGAGTGACCGGGTGGCTCACACTGGCCTGAGTGACACAGGGCCACATTCCCTACGTATAACTGGAAAGTCAGGAAGGTGGGCAGCTGGGGTGGGTCCATCAGGGCCCCTGGAATCCTCACTCATGTGAACCAGCCTCAGTGGCCGAGGGACAAGGACACTCTCAGTGGGCCTGACCCTGGAGCGGGGCTGGGACCCCCTCCCACCTCAGCATGGCAGCAGGGAAGGGGTGGCTCCCCACAGACAGCTTGGTTAGGACGAGACGTGCCTTCCAAGGACACGCCACAGGCAGGAGGGTCAGGCAGGCGCTCGAGTTCACCCTGGTCGCTGGGCTTATGGGCCCAGGGTCAGCTGCGCAGAGCGACTGTGACCCCTGAGCACGTGCCCACACCTGCGGAAGGGGTGCCCAGGTGAACACACACCTGTGCTCTGGGAGGGTCACAGGTGGCAGGCACCTGTCTTGGGGCACACCACACGGCCCTTCCATTCTTTGGCTGCATGTTGGCCTCAGGCTTGTCTGTGGCTGTGGGGGCCACCGGCCCCTTTCTCTGCTGACTTCCTGCCTTCTGTCCAGGGCCCCAGAGCTGACAGAGCCGAGGGTCCTGGGGGAGCCGAGGGCAGGGAATGCTCCCCAGAAGGTCCCTGGGAGCTCTGAGGGGGGCGTCTGCATCACCCTGACCCCTGTGCGGCCTGACAAGACAGTGGGCCTGGCTGGCCCCCAGCCCAACCTCTCAGGTAATTCCCAGCAGGAAATCAGGGTCCCAGCGACCTCCTCCCCTACCCAACCCCCCACTCTGGGAACATGGGTCTAGGGGGTTATCTTCTCTGGGGGAGGCTCCCCTAGGGCTGGGACCTGTGGGGCCACCCTTCCAGGGAAATGGGAGAGGGACAGTGGCCCTGGTCAGCCAGAGGAGCTGGTAGTCCTGGGTAGGCGGTGGGTGCATGTATGTTGTGGGTGTGCACACGTGTGCCTGAACCTGTGCACATGCCTGTGTGAGCGAGTCTGTTCCCAGCAGTCACCCCTGCACTGTCATTTAGCCCCCCACTTCCTGTGTGACCTTGAAGGGGTCACCAGCCGATGGGGCCTATGCTGAGGGTTCTGCCCTCACTGGCTGGTGGATGTGGCCAGCTGGGCAGCACATGGGCACAGGAAGGCTGGTGTCCTGTGGGTGACCCCAGCCCAGGGCAGGTGGCGAGGTGACCGGGCCTGCTGGTCCAACTGAGGTCTGTCTCTCGCCCATGGCAGCTGCATCTCCTTCCCTGGACCCCTCCCCGTCCCACCGCAGGAAGCTGGTCATCCCTGCCAGCTTGGACATTTCTGGCAACTGGCTTCAGCCCAAACCCTTGCAGCAGGGAGTCCAGGCCCAGAGCTGGAAGGTGGAGGAGAAGCCTTCCACTCAGGACAAACCAGGTCAGTCCAGAGGCACCGCCCTGTTTCTGTTGTTGGGGTGCAGATGAAGGAGGGGCCTCGGAGGAGGGGGTGCCCGGTGGGGATTTAAGGGGTGATTAGAGGCTGGTCCAGCCTAGAGTGGAGGGAAGGCCCCGGGGGGAGGGGACAGCAGCCGTGCAAAGGTAGGTGGCAGATAGGTGTTGATTAAGGTGGGACAGAGGAGAGGGGAGCACTGGACAGGCCTGAGTCACAGAGACCTGGGGACAATGGAGTATTTGCTCCTGGAGGGGCGGTTGACCTGAAGGAGGGCAGGGGCCAGGTGGCCACGAGGACTCATGGGGTGGTGCCTGGATCTGTCTGTGAGCTTGGCCGAGGGGCTGCGGGATGGGCGGGGAANGGCCAGACCCCTGTCCAGGACACTCATCTTGCCCCTTTTCCAGGGAGACCCTTGGGCCCGGCCGATGTCCCTGCTTCACCTCGCAAGGCAGTGACCTCCCCTGTGAGGGTGAGTGGGCTGGGGGTTGGGGTGGGCCAGGAGCTCAGCCCCCAGGGCATGGATTGCCCCTCACCACCCCTTCGTCCACAGCTGCACCCGGACTATATGCCGGAGGAGGAGATTCAGAGGCAGGTGCAGCAAATTGAGAGGCAGCTGGATGCCCTGGAGCACAGGGGCGTGGACCTGGAGAAGCGCCTGAGGGCAGCCGAGGGGGGTGAGCCATGCCCTTCCCGCCAAAGGCCCCACGCACCGCACCTGAGCGGCCAGCCCCGTCCTGGCCACAGCCAGCCTGACCCTGAGGCCACCCTTGGGGTTCTGCCAGCCCAGCAACCAGCCCCCACTCCTCTCTGCAGACGCCTTGGAGGACGTGCTCATGGTGGACTGGTTCCGGCTCATCCACGAGAAGCAGCTGCTGCTTCGGCTGGAGTCAGAACTGATGTACAAGTGAGCGGCCACCCAAAGGTCCCCTGGTAGGCTCCTCCTCCCTTCTAGGTTGGGCAAGGCAGCCTCACCCCTGTCACCTTGTCAGGGTCAGGGACCAGCACCTGGAGGAGCAGCAGCTGGACATCTTGGAGGAGCTGCGCCAGCTGATGGCCAGGCCGGGTATGTCCCATCTGCCCTCCTGCCTGGAGCCCAGGCCAGTCAGGGGGTGGGGGCCTCAGCCCAGTAGGTGGGCTGCCTGGGGTGGGCACCCGCTGGAGAGGCCGACGGGCCTCTGGAGCCTGAGGTCGAGTCTCAGTTCATCCATTTCTGGGCTGTGCATCTTTGGCCAAGTCACTCACCCTCTCTGTGCCAGGATAACATCTCTGCAGAGAGGACACTAGCTCCCAGCTCTTTCTGCTGTTGAGGGTTANCCAGGATAACATCTCTGCAGAGAGGACACTAGCTCCCAGCTCTTTCTGCTGTTGTGAGGGTTGAGTGCATGAATGCTTGAGGTGCAGGGAGTGAGTGCTGACAAGTGCGGCGTTGGGTGTTCTGGGTTGGCATGGCTGAGCCGGGGGGGCCCCAGTTTCCAGGTCTCTACAATAGGTGGGTTTGTGAGGATGGGTGAGGCAACCCAGGCAGGGGCCAGCCACACTCAGTCTCTGATGCGGACATTCGTTCATTCAGCCTGTTGCCAAGAGCCCAGCTGCACCCTCTGCCCCAGGTGCTCCCGAGACCCCACCCCTCCTCCAGTGGAGGAGCCTGAGTCTTGAGGAGGAGGGACACTATTCTGAGCAGGGTGGGACAGCAGGGTTCCCACTGATGGCAGGCTGTCCCTACAGAGGGTCTGAAGTCACCCCGGGACCGGCAGCGGGAGCAGGATCTGCTGACTCAGTATGTGAGCACTGTCAACAACCGCAGCGACATCGTCCACTTCCTGGATGAGGACCGGCTCAGGTGAGGGGGGGCCAGGTGAGG